ACACCGCTCCTCCTCCTCCTCCCTGGAGGCTCGTCCTCTTGCCGCCCTCCTCACCATCCTCCCACCTGGCAAGAAGACACGAATGACCAGGAGCAAGATGAATCAAGTCCCTTGCGAAAATCAAATCATCTTACCATTCGTTCAACAATGTCGTGATGCGCGCCAACAGCAGGTCGGTGACAGCCCTGATCCTCCGAAGCTTGTCCTCCTCCTCATCAGCTCCGCCTCCAACCTCTTGCCCGTGCGCGAAGGAAGCAAGCAGCTTGCACCCGAGCTCGAGAGAAACGTCTTTCATCTTCCCCTTCTCAACCCACGACATCACCACATCTTCAATCCTTTCACAGAGCCTCTCAGGAAGTGCCAAAGGACTGAGTTACAAGGAACCTGTGCACTGAAGAGGCGACCGAGGAGGAGTCCGGATGGGATTTCAGACCGTTGATCATCGTGTTCAGGCTGAGAATTTGCACGACCTGCAATCTTGACCGGTCGCTCCCATGGATGATCTTGCTAAGCTTCTCCACTGACTCCTTCTCAATCATTCTGAGCTTCGCAATCGCACCTCCTATGATGATTGCCTCCTGCCAGCCGGTCATCCTCGTTACGAGGGCAAGAAAACTTACGTCAGGAGAGAGCTTGCCAGAGTCGCAGAGGGCCAGGAGGTGTCGGTGCAAGTCTGACTGAAACCCGTCCTCCACCTTGGCGGTAAGCCGAGCGATTGCGCTCATGATGGAGGCAAGGTCTTGCGAGGAGACCCAGGAGAACGCGAACGCTCGCATGCAAGTCTCGAGCTTCTTGACAGCCTCAAGCGAGCATTGCCCACTCTTGGCCAGCGCAGAGAAGGTTGAACTTGTCTCTCGTCCTCTTGGCGGCTTGTTGGTTGAGATGGCATCGTCGAGGTGACGGATGAAATCCTGTTCCATGTGCCTCCAGAGTTCTGTATCAAGAACTCCTGCTTGCAGGAAGGAAATAGCTGAGAATACCCTTAGACACATGTGACGTGTTAGATGGATCATATACCGAATGAGGACAGCGAGTAAGGGTCCAAGCTTGAATTGACAACTGCTGCTTTCATTTTCTTGATTATTTTGTTCCCTCCCAGATGCTTGAGCTTCACCATGCTGCGGCACTTCAAAAAAAGTCATCTCGCAGTGAAAGGGGCACAACAACAGCAGACATGGGTCGAGAGCGATCTAGCAGACATCTCGGACATCTCGTGGTTTTCGATCGCCAGGAGCAGATAGCGGAAGACAGCAGGCGCAAGCGACTCGCAACGGAGGAAGGACGAGGTGCACTCCATCAACTCCTGATAAAGAGGATGATTCGTAGAAGGCAGGATCGATAGCAAGCACCTTGAGGGAGAAGGAAGACGAGGAAATCGACATTACACAGCTTGCAAGATGTTCAAAGTGACTTCGGTCAATCAGGCCAAGCTTTGCGTAAGAACTTGCAATAGTCGAGATGGACTGACTGGTCATGTTTGTTGTTGGAAAGCTTATTGATACCTGTGTGCAGCGCTCAGATCTTCTGCAACAATGATGGAGATTGAATTCACGCACAGACCTCAATCAACAAGGTGAGGAGCCTTTGATCTTTCAGGTTCAAATTGGCCAAAGAGTTAACAATATTTGAAACTGCCTGAGCGTCGAATGATTCTGCAAGAAGAACCATCACAAGGATTCTGTCTTTCTCAAAAACACACTCATCACCTTTGTTGCAGGCCAAAAGTCGATCAATGAGATGATTGAACACGCTTGAAGACCGAATTTTGTTCCGACTGTTAGAATCCGCGTCATTTGTAGGGCAATTTACAGGGCAGGATCGTTTCCTGTAAACGTGGAGGATCAGACCAACTTGTATGGGGTTGTAATCCCTGATGTCCAGCAACACCTAGTTTGGAAAAAGATTCAAACAGGGACCATGGTCTAGCAGAACCCACAGGCTCCAACATCTTCGCAACGTTGCTGGTGAAACCGTTGCATTTACTGAGGGTGTGGACCAACGTCGCTAAGCTACGAGCATCGAACATGCTGGACTTCTCCAACCTCTCATCGTCTCCGAGCTCAACATATCTCAGGCAGAGAGCTCGCAGACGATTGATGATCAATTGCCGCATGCCAGTACTCGACATGTCGTTCTCAAACAGTATCATGAAGAGCAGTGACAGGTCGGAGGCGTCGAAGCTTGTTATCTCTGACTTGATCACATCCAAGTAACCTTGCTTCAAAGACTCCAGAGACACTGGATCCCCTGACTTATCCCTTGACGGAACCTCTTCCTCTGACCGAATCTCACGGATGATCTTGATGAACTCCGTTCTGTTGGATCGTGCGTGAGCAAGCAGGGCTTGTTCGTCTTGCAAAGCTTTCATCAGCAATGCTGCATCTACTGGAGCAAGCTCCCTCCCTCCCTCCGACTCGCCCTCTTCCCCTGTCGCTGCTGCTGCTCGTAGCTGAAACCTTGCTAGCGCCGACCTTGAGGTTTTCGAAAATCCCGAGAAATGGCTGATCTTGGGAGCCAGCAAAGCATATCTAGGTGTACGAGATGTATGGATGCTTGGCACCATTCTTAGCTGCAAACAAACTCTCCATGCGGATACACGCAGAGGGGCACAACATGACCCAATCAACCATAGAAGTAATGCTGGGAACTTCATCGAAGAATATCAAAATGTCACGCTAAGTCTCTACATAACACTATCAGCTTCCTGAGATCAAGCGCCATCGAATATTTTTGCATCCTCTTGTCGCGGGTAATGGTCTGTGACATTAGACTCTCTGTCGTTGTGAGACGAGAGAGAAGCGAGCGGAGGGACGTCCGCTCTCCCTTGTATCCCCCTACCTCCTTCTCGAGCTCATTTTCGTTCTTGCTCTCGGTTCTTCTACCCAAGAATCCTCCCTCCTCTCTCTCTCTCTCTCTCCCGCAAGCTATTTTTCTCCCTCCCGATGCGTCCAATCGAGTTCGGCAGCTGATCCTAATTTTACTCAACAACGGGCCTAGGGTCTCAAATTTTACTCATCAAAATGCCGGGACCCCGGCCGGGCCGGGTGGCCGGACAGGCGGCATCAGTGCAGTGCCGGGCCTGATGAACTTAGATGATACTGGCCCGGGCAAGTTCAAGTTTACCTCGCGCCCACCCGTTACTTGACACACAGAGAGGGGGGTAGGGGGTCATGCTGAATCCCGCAACTTCTGGGAACGTTCGGCAAAAAGTTGACCTGATGTTGTAAAAATCAACGTTCATCGTTTATGGAGGGTACTAGGTGGGCAAAGCTCCTCTAGTACCCGGTTGTCAAAGCAGCCATCAATGGGTTGCCGTCCAAGAAGTGCTGTTGGTAAGGGGTAGGGGTAGAGCATCACCCCCGGATAATTTGCCAGAAGAGAAATCACTCCATGGGGGTGGTTTGGAGTCTTTCATAGGGTACAGTGGGCGTAGGGTCAGGTTGGGGTGGTTCCCGGTCCGTTACCCTATCTCCTTCACAAAACTCCTTTTATGATCTAAAATAGTTTAAACTGTACCATCCTTTCGATGTAAAATGTTGTAATTAAACTAATAAAGGACACGGTTAGGATAGGCACATCAGGCCCTAGGAAGGATAGCTAGTAATCAAAGGTTCCTAGGACCCGAAGGAGTCACTGGAACACTGAGGGGATGGGGTGTTGGACGGTGCTCTCCATTGTTGGAGGGGGTGGGGGTCGACGGGGATGACTCGATCGGAGGGGTAGGAGGTACGTGGTCAGACCACGGTCTTGTAAAAGGTAGGGTAGTTTGTGGTATCAAGACCGGTGTCTATGTCATCGTGAACTTTCGAGGAGTGAGGGTGATAAGCTCAGATAGTTTTGACAAAATCCAGGGGGTGGGGGTTCAACAAGCCGACTTCAATGCACTCGCTTGATGTTGGAGGTAGAGGGATGAAGTGCGAAGATAGAGAGACAGGCAAGGAGATAGAATCAGACTAGGACTTGAGATGTAAGGTTACTATGACTTAGGAAGGAAGAGGACGCGAATGCTTGAAGTTTCATGCGTTGGCGAAAGAAATAGTTGATCATGGAGCACAGCAGGGTCGATGAGCGATTGAGCGCAGAATGAATCTTAGAATCAGAACAGGTTTACAACATGACGTGTCGATACATATCATTCTTATCTCTTGAAATTGCGACGCTTGATGCAGCTTGGACTCGATTACTGACGCAGAGACGCTTCCTTCAATTTGACTGATTTCGATATTCTTACGCAGGTCTCATCTTATCCAAAAGGCAACAAACTATCATTCGGATATTCAAAGCACGTTTTTGGACCTTTTATATCAAATTCATGCGCGTGCTGCAAAGCACGGAAATGGTCGTTCTTTTCTTGACATGAAAACATCCACCAATCACAGAAAGGTGTTACACATGACGCGGGTCTCCCTCCTCCTTCTGTTCATCTTCGAGCAGATTGTTCTCACCTCCTGCCAAACATGCTTGACTACGCAAATCAATACTTGCAACCAGACAGATGTCTCAACAGTTGCAGGGGATCCTTTCACAATGATACTAAGGCTTTCCGATGCTTTCACATCAAGTTGTGGTTCAACATGTGATCCGAACTTGGTGGACGCATACATTGGTGGGCAGCGGGCTGAAGTGAGTTACATCAAAAATGCGCCATCGTATTTTCAGTTGCTATGGGGAAACGGTCTGAATACAAAGGGATTTTTCAACATCACGTGCAAGTTGAATCAACAGGACGTCACCAACTCACCGTACCCTTTGACAGTCACAGCAGCGGCAGAGGATCTGACTCAAGCCATCCTGCAAGACTTGGTTTCTAGTGCAGTGGTCAACAGCACAGTGACCTTGTAAGCAATCTCAACCTCTCTGTGCTCCTGCGTTTCCTCACCTTTGCACGTTTTGCAGTTCCCTACAGAGTCGAGATCAGTTTGGGAATGATGTTTCTAGCTCTCAGTTGTCCGTTCTGTTCACCTCTGCGACGCTTCAAGGGAACGCAGCTTACGTGGGCAATGGGAAGTATCAAATCTCGTTCAGAAGCACACTCTCCGGAAGTTACACCTTAAGCATTTCAGTATCTTCGGGAACTTCTACAAGAGTGATCTCGCCCAAGGTGCGGAAATAAAGCAAGGTGTGCTTGGGAGTCCCTGCCTTGACCTTATTTTCAGTTTGAATACCTGCCCGGCAATCCTGACATCAACAAATTTTCCATCTCCCCCGTGTCCCTTGCCACGGCTGGAATCAACATTGTGGTCCCTGTTTTTGCTCGGGACACCTTTGGAAATCTCATCTCCTCTAGCGTGCATGCTGACTACTCGCTCTCTGTAGCGCGAGGTGGGGTCACGCAGGTAAGGAGAGAGTACGAGAGGAGGGAGAGGAATGATACGGTGCGGGCAGGCCGTCATCTCCTCCGAGAGTACAGCAGGAGGGCAAATGGGCGTCTCGTTTCTGCTTACCCTTGCAGCACAGTACAGCGTGCTTATCATGGGCAACGGGACGGAGCTGCAAGGAACTCCATTCAGCATCTCCGTCATCCCCGCGATAATCAGCGGGCAGCAATGCATCGTTACCGTAAGCCGAACTCCTTCTTCGATTCCTCCTCCTAAGCACGGCGATCAATGCAGGGGACTGCGCTGACCTCCACGATGGCGGGAAAGCAGGCAGGGATGGTGATTCAGGCTGTCGATCAGTATGGGAACCAGAGAACAGACGGAGGAGTCAACTTCTTCTTCGCAGCTGAGGGCCCGCTGGAGAGGGCAACGAGCAACCGAGCCCAATGCAGTGACAGGTGCTGGTAGACGAGGTTTGTGAGCAGCCGCCGTTGACACTTCCAGCAGTTCTGCCGGCTCCTGCGGCATCACCCGCCAGCAGACAGCAGGTTCGTGCTCTGTCACCTTTACGCTCACCATCGCTGGGACGTACTCTGTCTCCCTCAACCTTGTCGGCGATTACACCGGAGGGAGCACAATCGGCTCTAGCCCGTACAACATCACCATCCAGCCCAACACAGACACGCTTCCAGGCTTCGTTGCCGTCGACCCCATCACGGCCTCGGTGAGCTTGCATCCTGCTGTCAAGGCCCATGAACTGACAGCCTTGCCCAGTCTCTTGCTGGGGTTCCTTTGAACTTGAATCTGCACGAGTCAGATCAGTACGGCAACGAGAGGAACTGTACTTCGATCAGACTCAACGGATTCTCTTTCACTTCACCGACCTCAGGCTCGTCGTTCTCCGGTACCTTGTCGACTTGAGATTCTCCCTTTGCTCACACTCCCTCCCCTCCCTTAGCCTCCACCGCCTTCGTCGGCACCTCCGATCAAGTCTGTGTCGTCTCTCTGTCGATGACCAACGCTGGAAGCTACGCACCACTGCTGAGCATCCTCGGACAGTCGATCGCCTCAACCAAGATCAACATCTCCATCTTTGCTGGTCCCATCGGCAACGTCTACACCAGTGTGGTGAACAAGCTGAGCTCGGGCGAGAGTTTCGATGCCAGCCAAGGGTTCGTGGACGCCATGGTGAACGGAGACTTCGTTCCCCAGCAGTACACCAATCGGTTTCCCTTGCAGACGTTCGACAGGTGATGGTCGCGCTGATCTGTGTCTTTGCGATCGAGCCTGCCTGTGTTGCTTGTTTGTGTATCATCGTACATGTGACATTTCATTCCATGTTGATATGGATTGTCCATATGAATTATGCTGGTATATTTTTGGGCTGACGGTCTTCCGTCAAGGTACGGTAACGTTCTCAAGAGAGGAGGGTTTGCCGCAAACATCTCCGTCAACGTCAGCTCGCAGATGTTTCCGTACTCAATAAGGGGAAGCGTTGCTGATCTTGAAGATGGCTATTACATGGTGTCATATACAACAACTGTCTCTGGCGGGTGAGATGATATGTTGATGACTTATTCTTGCGATCTCTCTTCCTTTTCCCCTTTATCCTCCTCCTCCTCCTCCTCCTCCTCCTCCTCCTCCTCCTCCTCCTCTTGCCCTACATCATCAGTAAAAGATTGATGTTGTCTTCAGATACCAGATATTCATCGATGTGGACGGCAACAGCATCAAGAACACTCCTTTCCAGGCCCTCATCCTCAGTGGGGCGATAGAAAGCTCTCAGTGCTACGCCTGCTTGCTCGACTCCACTGGCTGCAGGCGAGGGCAGCGAGGGGACCGGGATGCGACCTGTACCAGAAGTCTGAAAGCTGTCGGAGAGGAGGTTCTGCTGTGTGCTGAAGCTTCGCAAGTCACTCCTGCTTCACTCTATGTGAGGTTGGCAGACAGGTACTCAGCCCTTCACTACTCTCCTCCGTAGCTCTCCTTTATGCGCCTGCTGCTATCCTAATCACTTTCCATACCCTCTGTTCCTCTCCTCCCCTCCATCCTCCGAGTTTTCATTGCTCACTCTCATACTTGCCTCTATCAGGTTCGGAAACGACATCACAGACAAGAGGGAACTCAATCTGATCAGATACTCCGTCTCCTTTTCTTCCTCCTCTGTCCAACCCAAGGTCTTCAACAATATCCTCTGCTTCCTCGACGGAGCAGGCTGTTCCTCTGCCACCTTGCTGGACGCCACCAACATAGACAGCCTGGGAGGATTCATCGGCCAGTCTGCGAACTGGCTGTACCCAGTCTCCTTCGTCGGCTCAGTGAGCGGCAGCTACTCCCTTGAAATCCTCCTCGGATCCAAGAACGCGTCCGGTCAGGCTCACTTCAGCAGCATTTCTCAGTCCGTCGTCAGGGCGGAGGTCCTTCCGTCCTCCCCTTGCTCCTCCTACTCGGTTGCAGCTGGGAGCTCCCTCTCCCTCTCCACTGCTGGGCATCAGTCGACCTTCCTCATCCTGACAAGAGATGCATTCAACAATGATCGCGTGGTATATCATCTGTTGTTCTTGCATCCTGCCCTGCCCTGCCCTGCCCTGCCCTGCCCAGCTCTCCACTCCTGTCCCCTGCCTCGTTCCCCCTCTGCTTCTTCATCGTTCACCTCTTCATCACCAACCTCATCATCATGACGCACTAACTGCTCTTCAGGGCATCGTGAAAGCTCTGGACGCTGAGATCAGCTTGTTCGACTTTTCTCTGCTCGGCCCTTCTCCGGATGCTCAGACTCTCATGACTCCTGGGCAATCTGCTCCCTTCATCATCGGACAGGTTAAGAACGAGTCAGGTACTTGCTCCTCTCACTCTGCTCCACTCTCACTCTGCTCCTCTCACTCTGCTCCTGCCTCCTTGCTCCTCCCCCGCACTTGCTGCTAGTTGAGACTTCTTACCCTCGTGCTTCTCCCTTCTCGCACAAAATCTACTCCACTTCTTCATTCCTCCATCCCTCGCTCCCTCCATCCTCCATCCTCCTTCCTCGCTACTTGAGTCTAAATCTCTCCTCCCTCCTACCTCACACCTTCTGGTATCTAAGTCTGTGTACAGGGGGTCTTTTCTCCGCTTCGTTCTCCTCGACCATTGCAGGAACGTACTCTCTCCGCCTCAAGCTTGGCGGCCAACATCTGGTCAATAGTCCCTTCACCCTGCAAGTCAACCCAGCTCCCGCCAGCCCCAACTCCAGTAGAGTCGTGTCCTCCCTCCAGCTGACAGTCGTCAGCGGGAAGTTTGCGCCTTTCCTCGTGCAGGCTTACGACCCTTTCGGCAACCGTATCTTCACATCAGACGACCAGTTCACAGGGGCCATGCCAGACCAGCTCAACGCGCATGTGGAGGTTCAACCCCTGACGCAGGGGCAGCATAACGTCTCCTTCCTCATGGTACCAGCCGCCTGCTGTCTTGTTCCCTCTCCTCTCCCTCTCCCTCTCCCTCTCCCTCCCTCCCTCTCCTCTCCCT